TTAAAAAAAGAAAACAGAAGCAACCAATGAATGCATAAATAAGTGGGACAACAAATCTCTCTATCAATAAAATAAAAATAAAAAACTGGAGAATTGGGATTAATCGGCACAATTAAAAGATACCAGAGTTACTCAACATGAACCTCAGAAACATGTCCAGCAAAGACACCCATGTGAATAATGAACCCATGAAGTGATGCTATTTAGATGAAATATAAAACCACAAGAAACAACTCCATTCGTTGCTTCTGGACATGTGCTTTTGTACGAATAGCAAACACACAAAGCAAAAATGAATCATTGTGCTGCTTGGGCCCCTTCCTTGATGGAGGAGAGTCATCAGGGTTCAGAAGGAAGAGAGGGAAACTGCCCTCACACCCACCCAGCTGAGCTCACCTGTCTCCCACTGGCCCTGCTGAGCATCTGAAGAACTGCTTGACTGCCGACGGCGACGGCAGCTGCCCTCTGTCCTCTTTGTAGAAGAGCTGGAGGTGCCATAGCTGTAGCGTTCTGGAGACACTGGGGGAGAGAAAAATGGTAAGAAATATTCATAGCCTCTGGCCCCTCCCTGGCCCAGCCTCCCAATTCCCACCCCCTGAGATGAACACCTGCCCCATAGGGTTCCTGAGTTCCCCAGAGGTCAGAGTCCAGGCACCCATTCCCTCTCCAACACCTCCGCCCAGTTGTTGCTGGCTGCCTCCTGACATAGAGGACGACTCAGCCAGAGTTATTCTGTAAACTGAGTCATTATAAGGATCCCTGCAATGTTGCCCACCATGAACTGCACGCGCGCGCTCACTTACACTCACTCACTCACACACACACACACACACACACACACACACGCGCTCTTCCTGCGGCCACATGGAGTAAGCAGGCCTCTTTGGTTTCCCCAAATCTTTTCTTCCAGAGCCTGACCGTCATCGACATATTTCTCCAAATATGCTGTCAGTTCTTCCTTAATGCTGCCCTTTTCCTGGTTATCCAAATCCCTGGGCTTATTCTGGTGAGCGGAGCCTCACAATCCCCCTCCCTAGACTAGCCCCTACACCTCGCCAAGCAATCCTGCCAAGGCCTCAACAGCCTTGGCCTATGCATGCATGGGGCTCTTGTGCCTTACTCCCTCCAGCTTCTGGCCTTCTTAAGACTGCTGTCCTTCACAAGGATTAAGGACATCAACTCTGGGCACAAACCAGCTGAGTGTGAATCCTAGGTCTTGCTTTCTAGCTGTGTTATCTGCAAGGCCCTGCCCTTTCTTTGGTCCCCTCTGCCACACTGGCCCCTGAGGATGCCAAATTCATTCCTGCCTCAGGGCTTCAAAGCTTGCACAGGGCCAGCAGTGCAGCCTCAGTTCAGATGTCACCTTCCCAGAAAGGTCTTGACTGGTTATCCAATCTAAGGGGGCCTCTCTTTACTTGGAAGAACTCCTTACTCTCTCTATACCATTACTTTGCTTTAGCCTTTCTATAACCATATATGAAAACAAGTCATTTGGCTGTTTCAGTATCTGATTACCCAAATAAATGTAAGCCTCACGTAAGTACTGTCAGTCCCATCACCTTAAATCTCCTGTGCCCAGCACACGGGATTCAGTTCTCACATGTGAACAAGCTGCTTAACTTCTCTGAATCTGTTGTTTTCCTGCACACTGAGAGGATAACAGTGCTTCCTCAGTGGACTGCCAGGAGGATATAAAGGGATAGTTCATATGAAGGGCTTACTGTGTCTGGCATGAAACAAGCCTCCATAAAGTGGCCACAAACATCATTATTGACATGGCCAAATTCCACAAGTTCGCCCCTCCCTCTTGTGTTTCCCGGGGAGGAGGGGGAGTGGAACGGGACACAGGCTGTCGGGTATGACCCTGTCCATATCAGGCACCCCGGGGGCCCAGGTGCAGAGCGAGGGCCTCGCCCCATCGGAAGTCTATCACCCTCCCATTCAACCGTACCTGGCCGGCGCCGCCTGCGCGCCAGGTGTGGCAGCAAGTCCTGCCGGGCCAGCACTCGGAGGAGTTGCCCCAGGAGCCGCAGGTCGCTCTCGTCGCACTGCCCGCGGCGCTCCAGCTCCAACAGCAGCTCCAGGCCGCTGCGGGTGTGGGACAGGCCGCCGGCCGCCCCGGGGGCCTCGTCCAGCAGGAAAGCCAACAGGTCCAGTTCGCACTCGGTCAGCTGCCCGCCCACCACCTCGAACATACGATGAAGCGACAGCATCCCGTAGTAGTCCAGGCACTCGTCCTCCTCCCAGCTCGGGGCAGGGGTCGACCCAGACAGCGCCATACCCGGGGGAGGGGGTCGGAACCAGCTCGAACCAGGGCCTAGAACCCACTCGGCGAGGAGGGGGCAGTGGTCAGCGATGTGGGGCCCAAACGCCACCCCCGCCAGTGCGGCTCCCGGCCCCCGACCCGCGGGGCAAGTCTACCCTTACACCCTAGCCGGCTCGGCCTCCCTCTTCCCCCCGGAAGCGAATGGTATCGTCCGAGGTCCCCTAATAAGAGGTCGAAACGTCAGACCTCACTCGACCTCCGACCGGTCAGGCCTGCAGAGCCCGAACGCCCCTCCCGAGGTGGTATGTTCCGAACCAGCCTCCGGAACCGACCAAGTGATTCGATCCGAACGAGCCTGGAGGGCCCACCCCGGGGCACCCTACCGACTGCCCTTTGACCCTGAGTAGTTCTGCCCGGGCGCGCCCTGGGCTCCGTCCAGCGATCCTGTCCGACCAGCCCCACGGCTCCACCCCGGTGGTGCCGTCCGAAAGTGACCCTCTGGCCCCCACAAGCGCGGCTGACCACAGCAGCGCTTCGCCCCACATAGGTGGTGCTGTCCAAACCCGACCCCCTCGCCCTGCTGGGACGGTACTGCGCTCTCCCCAGCACCCAGGTGGTTCCCTCTACCCGCCACCAGTCGCCCTTCGGCCGCCCTGGGTCCTCACCGGAATCTGGCGTCTGCTGACTCCCGGGCGACGGCGGCAGCCACTTGTTTTGGATCTTTCTGGCACCTTCTCTATTATTACGCCTGCGTCACCTCGCCCCTCCTCCTTCCTCCAACTCGCGCAGGTGCGACCGCCACGCCCCTTACGCGCAAGCGCAGAGTGTGGTTTCCAAGCCCCGCCCCCAGGGCCCGCCCCCAGCCGCAGCGGCCGCCCCGGCCAATCTGCGCCTGCGCTGAGCCCGAGGAGTTCCGCGTTTGGCCTGCAGTTGGTACAGGGTTGCTAGGTTGCTTCTGCCGGTGACTTGAACCGCCGGGCCCTTGTTGCCCCACGCCATTACTCATCTCCTGGACTACAACAGCCCCTCCTAATCACAGTTTAGACACCCACAGTACCACTGCCCATAGCAAAAGACCGCAGTTACCCCCGACCTTCCTGTCTAAGTAGTGCCCAAGCCCTTATGATCAAGACTTGGGCTCTATCCAACAGAACCCCAACACCCACCTATAAGTTCCTTCCCCTGATCAAGACAAGGACTCCTCCATCTCATGGTAGGACCCAATACTTCCTTCCTGATTGCAATAGGCCTCTCCATCCCAGCTGTGCACCTCCTGCCGGTATCCACCACGAACCCCGCTGCCTCTTATAACCCCTTGTATCTATCTGCCCTCCAAGGTCACGGGATCTCCCAGTGTCCCCTCTCTAACCTGCACCTATGAGTTTCTCTCTGAGGAGAGCAGGTCCCTTATCACAAGAGTTGGCGTGCAGGCTGCTTGCCCCCGCCCCGCCCCCACACTTAGGTCACTCGAGATCATGGCCACACCTGCCTTAAGCCCGGTTCCCACCCCATAATTATCTCCCCTGGGGAAGTGGGAGACCTAGGTCCTGCCAGGCACTGGCTCGGCCAGCACTGGTTTTGCTTGGGCTGCAGCAGAGACCTCGGAAGAGTCCCTTCCTCTTTCTGATGGCAGTTGTAACCTGTTGAAGCCCGTCCTGGGTCGGACACACATTGGCGCCCGATAAGTGGATATCATTAAACCGACTGAAGAGTGGGAGGGAAGGGAACACAAACTGGGAAGGAGTATGTCCATGTTGAATGGGTTATAGTGAGCAGCCATGGTGTATCAGACCCTGTACTGAGCGGATTTTATTTTTTATTTATTTTTTTAAGCTTATAAAATGAAAATTATGCTTTATCAAAAACATATAGAGTCATCTAATCAATCCAGGAAAACAAGGCCATGTCTTAAAAATATGGAATGCTTCATGAATTTGCGCGTCATCCTTGTGCAGGGTCCATGCTAGTCTCTGTATCATTCCAATTTTGGTGTATGTGCTACCAAAATGAGTACTATTTTTTTTTTTTTTTTTATGAAAGAGAGACCTCGATTTTGTTGTTTCACTTATTTATGCTTCATTGGTTGCTTCTTACTGAGGATCAAACCCTTGGCATATCAGGCCGATGCTCTAATCGAGTTACCCGGCCAGGGCCAAAATATATTATTTGAGAAAGGAAGGGAGAGGGAGAGGTTAGAAACATTGATGAGAGAGCCTGCAACCCAGGCATGTGCCCTGACCGGGAATCGAACTGTGACCTCTTCGTTCGTAGGTCGGGGCTCAACCATTAAGCCACACCGGCCAGTTTCTGTGTGTGATTTCATCCAGTTCCCTCAGTAACCTTGGCTATGACGCGAGGCCCTTTTACACGGGAGTAAAAGTGAGGCCCAGAGAGAAGTACTCCAAGCGCGTCCGGCTCCAGTGCTGTGTTCTCAGAGACGCTCAGTCTGTTCAGCTGTGACACCTCCGTCAAGGTCTGAGGCCGCCCAGTCCCCTCCGTGGGCCCTCACTTCAATCGCGCGCACCCGTCTCCAACAGCAGCCTTGGCACCCACGCCGCACCCGGAGAGAACTGCGCAGGCGCGCCTCCGAGTCCGGAGACCGGCCCACAGGGCACGGTCGTGTGTGCGTGGAGACTCACCGAGCCCCGCCTGTGCTTCAACACGCAGGCTCAAGGGCGCGTGCCCTACGCTGCCGGTTCTGATTGGCCGCCACGGGTAAGGGCGCCGCCCAATGGGAGGTGTGGATGGTGAGGGGTGCCGCACACCGGGAGCCGAGGGTCTGTGTCAAGAGCGGCGGGGGCTGCAGGAGGCGAGAGAGACGGGTGAGGGTCACCGCGCCGCGGGGCGGGCGGGTGAAGAGAGCGCTGGGCCAACGGAGAGGATGGAGGGAGACGAAGGGGACCCCGGAGGTCGAAGAGCTTTGGGGCCTGCGCTATGGCGGGAGCGACGCGAAGTGGAAGGACGGTGCTCCTTCCTGTGTGCCCTGGAGCATTGATGGAGCGCCGGTGGAGTGCCGGACCCTGCACTGGAGCTCGCCGTTCCCCGACACTTTGCCGGGAGCGCTTAGGTTGCAGAGTTGATACGTCTGGTCAGAGAAGAGGGATGTGTAGCTGTGCAGCGAGAAAGTTGAGCCTCCAGGCCCCTGGGTTCTTTCCTGGAAGGACTTACTGGTCTACTCCCCCATCCCTCCCCCCAGTAGTTTACAATCCATGATTGGGAAGGGAGGAGTGTAAACGAGGAAAATCCAGATGTTAGGTCTTTCAGGCTACCTTCTAGAAAGATCTTTACTGGGTACTGCTTTGCATAAACTTCACACCAGGCACTGGACCTCCTCCTGGAGGAGTTCTCTGTTTAGAGTAGGACTGTAAAACAAAAAAAAATTAAACTCTCAGGCCCTGGCAACTCAAAAATTAGTGAGGCAGTTAAGGATAGTTTAGCTCCTGGGCTTTTGTGAATTATTTACTCAAGGAGCATTTATTGGGCACCAACTGAAGGCAGGGTCCTGTGCTGGGCTGTTTCTGTGGGAGTTCACATCTTAGGAGAGTTGGCCTGGTGGGGAGGTGGAATGTGCACTGAGACAGTTGAATACTCAGGGCCTCACTTCCTGGAAGGATTAGTCATCCACTAAATATCTCCTCAGTGCCTAAGGTGTGCAAAGCATTCTTCCTGGCATTGGAAATATCTCAGTGATGAACCGACTAAAATCCCTGCCCTCTGGGAACTTAATAGGAGTAACATGTATGTGCCAGGCTGTAAACTGCCCTCTGGCGTTAACACATGTGTTGAAGAAGAGATGGAGAACGTGGGAATTGAATTTGGAAAATTAGCTCGTATACTTGTGGGGGGTGGGGGGGTGTCATTTGCTGAAGGGACCCTGGGCCTCTGCTATGTGAAATGACCGATATGAATTGAGCCCACACATTTAGAAGGGGGGATGGGGCACATAGCTAAAAGCTTAATAGTTAAAGTCCCGGTCCCTGGTCAGTACTTTAGTTGGTGACAACAGTCCCTATAATGAATCAGAGCTGTCCTGCCGACAAGCTCAGTGAGGAACACAGAGACTTCATCCCAAGTTTATGATAATGGCTATAGTAGAGGTGGCACGGGATACCATAGGAACTCTGAGGAGGGGAGTGACCACCAGCCTCAGGCTGTAGACATCAGAAAAAGCTTCACAAAAGAAATGCTGGGGAAGAGTTCGCTAGACTAGAAGAGTAGAGAACTTATTTGGTAGAAGGAATAGCAGCATCAAAGACCTAGGGTCCAAAAACATTTCTGGGTAACTACAAGTGGTCCTGCCTAGCCTTTATCCAGTACCAGGGACTTTGTGGTCAGTACTACTTTTAGCCCCATTTCACAAGTGAGAAAACAGTCTCAGAGAGAGGAAGTGTGTGGTGGAGCTCAGATTCAAGCCAAGAGCAGTGTGGTTCCAGGGCCTGACCTCTTAATCTCTTTGCTGCATCTCTGTGTCTCCATGTAGAAGGAGGAAAGGTGCTGCACAGGCAAAGGCCGAGAGACCCCAAAAGACATGTGTTCTCAGAAAGGGTGCAACTAGCCCTCTGGGTAAGGAGGGCAGCATCAGAGGCCAGACTGAGGAGGGCTGTCTCTCCTGCAGATGCCTGGCCACCATGGGACATGTGTTAGCTTCAGAGGCACAGGCTCATTAAAGACTGAGGCACAAACACTGCATCTAAACTTGGTGACTGACAGAGGCTAATGAGTGACAGGATGGACAAAGGAACTCCTAAGACATCCCTCCTCCCCTTGGATTCCTGGTGTCTCACCACCTCCCTTCTTTTTCCAGGCACTGCTTTCCCCACAATGGCAGAGATGGCTGAGATGGCCGAGATGCTGACACAGATATCACCAAGGGCAATGGAGATGTCAACAGAGGTGACTGATATGAAACCTGAGGAGGCCCTTGCCTCATCCCTCTTTTTCCAGCACCACCAGTTCATGTGCTCCGAATGTGGCAGCCTCTACAACACACTGGAGGAAGTCATCTCACACCAGGATCAGCATGGGCCCACTGTCACAGAGGAGGAGGCACTGACCACCCAGGACGCTGGCCTGGAGCCAGAGCTAGTGCCAGGTACGGAGGATGGGCCTTTCCAGTGTGGTGACTGCAGCCAGCTCATCCTCTCCCGTGGTGAGCTCCTGGCCCACCAGGACTCCCACCTGCAGGCATCTGCAAGCCAGATCCAATACCAGTGTGGGGACTGCCAGGAGCTGTTCCCCTCGCCTGAGCTGTGGGTGGCTCATCGGAAGGCCCAGCACCTTTCTACTGCAGCAGCCAGGCCACCAGTGCTGCCGCCTCCCCCGCCCCCTCCCTCAGCACCACCACCTCAATCTCCTGCTCCACCTGGAGTCAAGATGGAGCCCTATGAGTGTCCTGAATGCTGTACCCTCTGTGCCACCCCTGAGGAATTCTTGGAGCATCAAGGCACCCACTTTGACTCCCTAGAGAAAGAGGAATGCAATGGGCTAGAGGAAGATGAGGATGAAGAAGATGAAGAGACAGAGGAGGAGGAGGAGGCGTTGGCCTCAGAGGTTGGTGACAATGCTATAGAGAGCGACAAGTCCACAGATCCCCAGACCCAGAACTGTGGGGATTGTTCCCAACACTGGACCTCAGCAGGGGCACGCCGACGACACCCGCGGGCATCCCATGGCCCAGCATCAACAACCCACCCCTTCCGCTGCAGCCAGTGCCAACGCAGCTTCAGCTCAGCAAACCGGCTGCTGGCTCATGGACGTGCCCATGTTGGTGGCACACACGAGTGTACCACCTGCTTCAAGGTCTTCAAGAAAGCATCCTCATTGGAGCAACACCTCCGACTGCACCGAGGGGAAGCCCGCTACCTCTGCGTGGACTGTGGCCGTGGCTTTAGCACAGAACTCACTTTGGTGGCCCACCGGCGGGCCCACACCTCCAACCCATTGCATCGCTGCCGCTGTGGCAAAACATTCAGCAACATGACCAAGTTTCTCTACCACAGGCGCACCCACGCCGGCAAGAGTGGAGTGCCCCCTCTCACAGCAGGAGCCTCCCTAACTCCAGCTGAGCCCATGCCCCCGCCACCGCCCCCTGCCCCGCCTGCCCAGCTGCCCTGCCCACAGTGCTCGAAGTCCTTTGCCTCAGCCTCCCGCCTCTCTCGGCACCGGCGAACAGTCCATGGGCCCCCTGAGCGACGACACTGCTGCGGGGTTTGTGGCAAGGGCTTTAAGAAGCTGGTCCATGTGCACAACCACCTGCGGACACACACGGGCGAGAGGCCCTTCCAGTGCCACTCCTGTGGCAAGACCTTTGCTTCTTTGGCCAATCTCAGCCGCCACCAATTGACCCACACAGGGGTGCGTCCCTACCAATGCCTGGACTGTGGTAAGCGCTTCACACAGAGCTCCAACCTGCAGCAGCATCGGAGGCTGCACCTGCGACCAGTGGCCTTCGCTCGAGCACCCCGCCTCCCCATCACTGGTCTCTACAACAAGAGCCCCTACTACTGCGGGACATGTGGCCGCTGGTTCCGTGCCATGGCAGGAGCAGACTATCATGTGCACTGAGCTCGGGGAGACCATCGCCATTATCGAGACATCCCAGCCGCTGGCACTTGAGGACACACTGCAGCTGTGCCAGGCGGCACTGGGTGCCAGTGAAGCGAGCGGGCTGTTGCAGTTGGACACGGCCTTCGTGTGACACAGCTAAGGGCAACAATAAGAGTTTGGTTGCAGCAGCAAGTGTGGGCTCCTCTGGGGAGGAAGGGGACCACACCCTGGCAAGTCCACCCCAGTGGGTTCCAGGATCTACTGGCATCTTACCCACTGGCTCCTCAGAACAGCCCTGCCAGGTTTCTCTTGTCACCTTTCTCTGCCTGAGGGGAAACTGAAGCTCTGAGATGTGATACGATCTGTCCCAGGTCACCCCACATAGCAGGGTTTGCCAAGGTTCTTTGCATCACGCTGCTACCCAGAAACATCAGGTAACCTTTCCTGAGCCCTGGCCGTGTGCTCAGGTATGTGCCCCATACATCTTTAGGTACTTTGCTGTCCCCCCAGCCCAAGCTTCCCTGGACTTCAGCACCCAGCACTCAGCCATGCCTGGTGGAGGAAGGTACTGACTTCTCTGGGCTTCCTTAATCTCACCTTTAACAATGGAAGGAAACCTATAGGTGCCCTAGTGCTCAGCTGCAGACAGTGATGCTGGAGACCCAGGAATGAGTCAGACACGGGGCTTGGCCCAGGAGGCCTATAGTGTGTTAGGAACATGCACAAGTACAGATGGCCTTGCTCTCTAAGTGTGTCTCGTTGATTCTTTATCAGCTTGAGTGTCCTAAGTCCTCCCTGAGTGCTGGGCGATGCTTGGGGTAAGAGAAGTCACGCTTCTGCCCTGCCCCTCAGGGGCAGACAGAGCTCAGCCCCAGGTTCCTCAAGGTTGTGATGGGGGTGCACATGGACAGTGGGTCTTGCCACAGGAGTGGCACTGGAAGGGCCTCTCGCCCGTGTGTGTCCGCAGGTGGTTGTGCACATGGACCAGCTTCTTAAAGCCCTTGCCACCAGGGAACAAAGCTCGGTGGGAGATCAGTAGAGACCTTCTAAAGGAGGTAGGAATCTGCTAGCATAAGAGGAGAACATTCCAGGCAGATGGCATGGAGGGTGAGTTCTTAGTATACTTGGAGACCATCCAGTTATTCACAGCCACAGTAACAGCGAACATTGGTCTTCTAGCCGTGGCAGGCACTGCAGTAACCACTATACATGTGTTATGATCCCAACAGGCCTGAGGTGATCTCAGAATGATCCCTGTTGTACAGATAAGAAAATGGGCAGAATGCTTACTTCGACAGTACATACACTAAAATTGGAATGATACAGAGAAGATTAGCATGGCTCCTACATAAGGATGACATGCAAATTGGTGAAGTGCTACATAGAAAAAAGAAAAAGAAAATGGGCAGAGACTTGCCCAAGGTCTCACAGCTAGGCAAAGGCATTGCTGAGATGTGCACTTAGATGGGCCCTTCAGCCCATGTCCATAACTAGTGCTATTGAGTGATTGCGACCTGAAACCCTTGCAGGAGCTGGGGGCTCAGAGGAGGATTCATTATAACTGGAGGAAAGATGAGCCAGTGTCACAGAGTAGTTGGGGGTGGGCGGTCTTTCAAAAGATCAAAGGCCTTGGGAGCAGGAAGGGATCCCCAGCCTTTTCAAAGGTTCCTTAAGGTGACAATTCTTCCCTCTCTAAACAGATGTTACATGGCAGGTCAGGGAATGGGGCAGAGTGAAGCAGGGTTGTCTGGGAGGGTTAGACCTGGGAAGGCCTTGAAGCTGGGCTAAATTGGAGCAGTGCAAGAAGGGGTGGGCTCCTTGGGGTCAGGGTGGGGCTATGGGGAAGATTAAAGATGGTCCAGGAGGGAGAGAACAGGCCAGAGCTGGGCACAGACCATGGGGATAGGAGGAGGGTGAGGGACGGTGACCTCATGACTGACCAGATGTAAGGGAAGGCGTCCCCAGCAGCCCGACCACAGGTCCCCTCACCCAGGCCAGCCCTCCTCCTCTCCTCTGGTCCACATGTTTTATGTATGCATCATACAAAAAAGGTGATGCCTAAATGGTTCTGAGCAGGGAGACTCAGGGTTTTATTGGGCAATATACAGATGCCTCTGGGACTTTTTATTTTTTTTATAATATTTTTATTAATTTCAGAGAGGAAGGGAGAGGGAGAGAGAGATAGAAACATCAATGATGAGAGAGAATCATTGATCGGCTGCCCTCTGCACGGGATCGAGCCCGCAACCCAGGCATGTGCCCTGACTGGGAATCGAACCGTGATCTCCTGGTTCATAGGTCGATGCTCAACTGCTGAGCCACACCAGTCGGGCACCTCTGGGACTTTTTAGCAGACACTACAGACGTCCTTGAACTCCCTTTGGAACACCTCTCTTCACCAGTGGAGCACATGTCTGTTGCTCCTCCCCATATTCCCTTCTTCCTCTGCAGCCTCTGCCCGTGGTCCTACTGTCTGGCCCCAGCATGTTTTCTAAGTGAGGATAAAGGCCAGGCTCTCTGCCTTAACCTTCCCCAGGACTGTCACTTCCCAACAGGTATGAGACCTGGAAATGAAAGCTTGGGGACAGCACCTCTGCCCCCATGCATGCCCACTAAGAGTCTACATCAGGCCCTGGTCTGTGTGGATCAGTGGTTAGAGCATCAGCCTGTGCACCACAGGTTTGATCCCTAGCCCCAGTTGGAACATGTTTGGGAGGCAACCAATCAATGTTTCTCTCTCTCCCCCTCCCTCCCACTCTCTAAAAATAAATGGAAAAATATTCTCAGGTGAAGATTAACAAAAAAATTTTTTTAAGTTTACATCAGGCTAAGTTTTGTGTCCTCCAGACTCTGAAGCAGCAGGGGCTGAGACAGAGCTTTGTTAAAGTCTTGACCCTGCCACTTAGTCTGTGGCCATGACCTCCCTGATCCCAGCTCTCCCTCCCTGGGTGGAAGCAAATGGTTCGACCTGAGACCAGGGGGCAGGCTCCTCCCAGGCCTCTGCAGCATATAAACCAGACCAGTTCATCCTCACACAGGAAGGTTGGGCCCCTCAGCCAGGATCCAGATTCAGGCCTCAGATGGCCCAGTTTGGGTTCACCCTACCCTGTCCCCCACCTGAGATACAGCCCACTCCTGTCCCAGGACAGCCCACCAGACACCTCCCTCACCTCTGGAAAAAGACAGCTAGACAGAAGGTAGGAGGGGGAGGAGCCAGGTTGGACGGTGCGAATCGATGTTTTCTTTAAGAAAAAAATTATAACAATCTATTTACACCCGGGGGGCCAGGAAAGAGGAGAGGAGATGGGCTGGGCTGGTTCTATTTACAAGGGACACAGGAAGGGAGGGTGGGTTGGAGAAGGGCGGTCTGGGGGGAGAGAAGGGGGACAAGGGATAGGAGGTCCACATGCCCCCAACCCCGTCCATCCTTCCTTCTCTTCCCTCCCCACAACCAAATCCTCTTAAAAAGCCCACCATAGGGGTGAGGCTGGTGAGGAAGGAACAGGAAGAGGGAACAGGGACTCATTTACCTCTGCCCTCTAGTCTAGGGGCCCAGCCAGGGCAGGAGCTATGGCCCCCCTTTCCCAGCCCCACCTGGGGCTCCCAGATGGAAGGGTAGTTGGCAGGGCCCTCAGGAGGAGTTAGTGAGGGGAGCTGTGGCTTCGGCTGACTGCCATTCTGAGCCGGTCTGAGCCTCACTTAAACCTGAAGAGGAAAAAGAAGCAGACCAGTTAGCCTTTGCCTTTCAACACCCCTCTCCCTCCCCACCCCCCCCACCCCCAAAAACCTCCACAAGCAGGAAGTCCATGTAAGATGCTGCATTTGAAAGTGAAAGCTGTCACTTTAGATCCATGGTTGCAAACTCAAATGCCAAAGGACCGAGGAAAGGCAGGCCCACTGCCATCCCCTCTGACTTTCTTCCCCAGGAGAAACAGGAAAACCAGACTTGTACATGAAATGGCCCAAACTTTTTTTTTAATATATTTTATTGATTTTTTTTTTTCCAGAGAGGAAGGGAGAGGGATAGAGAGCTAGAAACATCGATGAGAGAGAAACATCGATCAGCTGCCTCCTGCACACCCCCTACTGGGGATGTGCCCACAACCAAGGTACATGCCCTTGGCCGGAATCGAACCTGGGACCCTTTAGTCCGCAGGCTGATGCTCTATCCACTGAGCCAAACCAGTCAGGGCCCCAATTTTTTAATGTGCGCAACAAATTCAACTGTTTTTATAGGCCAAACATATGTCTTTGGTTTTCCAGTTAGCATTTCAACACAAACATAGGCAATAATACCCAACACAAGTGGCCATTCACATGTTGTAAAATATGCTTTCTATACCATCAAGCTGTAATTTTTACAGGAAACTGACAGGCTGTGAAAACAGCCCCTTTCCCCACAGCTGAAAAATGCTGCTCTACCCTGACTTACCTTGTGAGGGTGGGGTGAGGGTGGCAGTGCCCGCCGGGGACCTCAAGTGAGGAGGGATAAGAATGGCGTTGAGAGATGGTTGGATGGAGAGTTCTAGAGACAGGAATGGACATGCCTGGTCAGAGGGCAGGACATCTGCAGACCCAATTGGAGTTAGAAAAGGGCACTGAATGGGGACCCAGCTCTTGGCAAGGCCAGTGTTTGCAGACACATGTAGCCATCGAGTACTTAATAGGAAAAACTGTAAAGAGCCTAGCACAGATCATGGGGCATGGGTGAATCAGGTTTGGGTTTCCTTGAACCATGGGGGCCTCTCCCAAGCCCCAGACCTTCCTTGTCACCCACCCTCAACTCCCCATTCCTGTCTTCAACACCAAGCTCTTCTCCACAATCACTGGCTGCCTCTCCAGTTCCCCAGACCCCAGGCTGTGCCCTCACCACCAGGACTGAAATTGAAGAGGGGGGGAAGCGCGCGGTTGTTAGGGAGCTGGATTCCGTGACATCGCAGTTCATCAAAGAAGCTGTGGGCACAGGCTTCCAGTGGGGAGAGCCTCGAGGACGGTGTGTACTCCAGCAGGCTAGAGCAGAGCGCTATGGCCTCAGGTGGCGTTCGAGATTTGAACACCTGGAGAGAAGAAGAGAGGCAGAAGTCACAAGAGTGAGGCCCTGGATACTTGCATGCTCCTGCACCTCACCGCCACAATGCCTGCAGCAAATGTGACTGCCCACCTCTCACAAACCTACTTTCCAAATGAAGAAACTAAGACACCGCCACTGAGGGGAGCTCAGTTTGTATCAGGTGAGCAGCCCACCATGACTGCATGGGCTTTGCTGTAAGTCTGTTTCCCCACTAGAAAAGTAGGGCTCTTCAATCTACTGTGGGTCCTCAACTTTCAGATTACTGGAAATTCCATCAACTGAAATCTAATGAAAGTCACCGACCCTCTCCAATGCCATGACTTTGTAGCCACATCCCCAGACCACTTGGCCTCCTATGGGGACCTCAGCCATGCTATCGGAGCCCCTAACCCTGCCCTACCTTTGTCCAAGGGTGAGCTTTAATCTGGGGGAACTTGAACTCCGTGTAGTTGGGGTTCATCTCTCGGATCTGCTCCCGGGTTGGTGTTCCCAGCACCTGTAAGAAAAGGAGGGGTCTGAGCCAAGACCCCTATCACTTAGCCCCACCTCTGCCCACCTGGCTCTGCCCTCACCTTGATGATCTCCACCAGCTGGTCTACCCCACTGTCCCCAGGGAAGATGGGCTGGCCCAGGAGGAGCTCGGCCAGTACGCAGCCAGCTGACCACACATCTGAAGGGGGAATGGGAGAGGGTCAGGGTTACCATGCCCACCCCTCACAAACACTTCCATCCCTTATGATTAGAGAGGAACCACCTTGCTCGAGATCACACAGTTTAGGAACCCTGGAGTCTTGACTTTGACCTCCAGGTCTGCCTGACTGTACTGTACTCTTCCCCTTCCTGGTCTGTACCTTGAGCCCTATGACAAATTCACACCTAAGGACCAGGCAGTTTCCTCACACCGGCTGATGAAATGTTCTCTTCCAAACCCTTCATGCCCTCTCCTCAAGCCTGGAGGGTGGCAATGTCATCCCCACCAATTGGGAGGAACACAGAGGCCTATGAGCAGGTCACACCCTCATGGCCCACCTCAGATTCCCCCAAAGTCACCATCAGCCCCTCCCCCTGGATGAGAAGAGACGGCTAACTAGGAGGTTCCAGTGTCAGTATGGACTCTGGAGTTGGGTCAGCTTTCAAAGCCCAGCCTTGCCCAGTCCTAGCAGTGTGACTGCGGGCAGGTGGCCTCACCGCTCTAAGCCTGAGACTGCTCATCTGTAAAGGAGCGTAAGACAACATCGCCCTCCTAAATTTGTGAGGACGGCATGAAAGAATAAACATTAAGCTTTTATCTCCAAACCTGGCACACACATACACCCAGAACTCAAAAACTGCCATGACTGCCATCCCCACCCCCAGCCTCCCATAAGTCTGACCGATAGATGAGGTATAATCAGTGGCTCCAAAGATCAGCTCGGGGGCACGATAGTAGCGAGAACAGATGTAGGAGACATTGGGCTCCCCCCGGACCAGCTGCTTTGCACTGTGGGAAGAGGTGAGCAAGAGTAAACACAGGCGAAGGTTGGGGCCCTTCCTCACCCTTTCAGCCACTCAACACGCCCCAGGTCAGGCCTACCTGCCAAAATCACAGAGCTTGAGGACAGCCGTGTCAGGGTCCACCAGCAGATTCTGGGGTTTGATGTCACGGTGACACACGCCCTGGGAGTGGATGTAGGCCAAGCTCCGGAAGAGCTGGTACATGTATACCTGGGATAGACAGGGAGAATTCCAGCCCGGCTCTCCCCAGAGCATGCCACTGCTCCACCCTCTTGGCCAGAAGAGCCATTCCAGGCCCTGGCTCCAACTTGAAAATCCTTCCATGGCCCCTTGGTTCTCAAATTTTAGTGTGCAACAGAATCACTTGGAGGCCTTGTTAAAAATAGGGGCTTCTGGGCCCCACTCCCAGAGTTTCAGATTCAGTAAGTTCAGGATGGGGCTTCTGCAGCAGCTCCCAGTGATGGTTCTGGTCCACACTGAGAACTCCTGATTCAATCCCATACCTCAGCAGAAGCCCAATGAATAAGAGAGAGACATCAGGAAGACCTTGTTTTAGAGGCTGGGAGCCAGGCACTCAGCTCCTCCAAATCCACTGGCTGGAGGAAGGGCTCAGCTTTTTATCCACCAGTCCAGTGGTCGGCAAACTCATTAGTCAACAGAGCCAAATATCAACAGTTCTTCTTCAAAATAGACTCGCCCAGGCCGAAAACCGACTTCTGCGCATGGGCCACGAAGTTTCAATCGCACTGTACATGGGCGCCCGCGCGTAGTATTTTGTGGAAGAGCCACGCTCAAGGGGCCAAAGAGCCGCCGTTTGCCGACCACGGCACCAGTCAAACCACCCACAAGCAGCCCCTCTCCAGTTGGGTGTTCTTGCCATTCTCCCATTGACTGACTAGCACAGCTGTGGGCAAACTACAGCCCAGGATCCGGCCCATTTGAAATGAATAAAACTAAAAAAAAAAAAAAGACTGTACCCTTTTATGTAATGATGTTTACTTTGAATTTATATTAGTTCACACAAACACTCCATCCATGCTTTTGTTCCGGCCCTCCTGTCCAGTTTAAGAACCCATTGTGGCCCTCCAGTCAAAAAGTTTGCCCACCCCTGGACTAGCACCTAAGTGCTAAGAGAGCAGTGATCTTTGTGTTTTCATCACTGCCTCACAGGGCCTGGCAAGTAATAACCGCTTAGGCCTGCTTCCTGGCCTTCTCCTCTGTTCCTGCTGCCCTTTCTCACCCTGTGCCTGGTCTCCTCCCACAAGCCTTCTTTGATCCTTCTCGCCCCAAGCAGGCGAGGCTGGGGGCCTTCTGTGTTTCCAGAATTCCCTGTGCCCCTTCTAGGAAGGCAGTGCTAGTAGTTTTATAGTTCTCATGTGTCTACCCTGCTAAACTGAGAGGCTTCAAAGGCAAGGCCTGGGTCTTAGTCAACCGGGCCTCTGAAATTGTTCACTGCAGGGCCTGACACACAGGCAGCCACAGGACAGTCACCGCGCTGGAGAACTCCCTGCCCCGGGAGTGAGGTCCCATAGCACCAACCACTAGCAGAGCCCCTAAGAGCTTGCAAGGGCTCACCAGGAACAAATGAGCCCTCGAGCGACCTCAAGTAAACTTGGACCCAGCCACCTCCTCCCAATGCAGCACTGCCCCAGCCTTTGTTCTCCACATCATCACTAGGCTCACTCATTCATTCATTCAAACTCCTACAAAGGGATAGGAACACTCAGGACTCAGCACCAGGCACTGGGGAATGAACTAGAGACAATGGACGAAGGTGCCTGCTCTCTTGGCTCTGTGGACACTAACCTCCCTCCAACCCTGCGTCCTTTCCACTCCTCTCCCAGACATCAGTGCGTCCCCCTCTGTATTTTCTGTCACCATCACCTGATTCTGAGCTACTGCCTCCAATACCACTGTTGTCACTGGGCTCCCAGTATAGACCCAAGCAGGTACCTTGCAGCCTCCCCAGCCCCAGTCAGCCTGCCTCCCTGATTCAGTCAGGCCTCAGGATGGGCTACCCTGTATTTAGCGAGCTGCATCTCTGGGGGTATGGAAACAAGGGCAGGGAACACAAGACCTTCAAGGACCAACATAAACTTGGAGAACGAGAGAACCCACAGAAGGTAGGAAGATTCGGAGCTACTAGCTTCCTGGGCCTGGGCCCCAGAAGTCTGCCTGCCCACCTTGACATAGATGATAGGGATGGTCAACTTGGCCTTGGTGAAATGACGGGCCACCCGGTACACTGTCTCGGGCACGTACTCCAGCACCAGATTTAAGTAAAGCTCGTCTTTCTGCAGAGAGCAAAGGAGAGATGTGAGGCATTCTGAAGAAAGAGCTTGCAAGGAAGTGGGATGGAAGGTTTAGGGAAAATGGGGAAGGACTAGCAGTCATGAGAAAGGCAGGCAGGAAAATAGGTGGAGTGAAAGTGCAGGACTCCCCTACCCCGAGGTCTCACCTTCTCCCCACTGGAGTAGAAAAAGTATCTCAGCCTCACGATATTGCAGTGGTCCAGCTTCCGCATAATCTGCAGCTCTCGGTTCTTAGAGGCAAAGGGAGAGAGCCTCAGAAAACCACCAGCTGTCTTTCCTCCCCTCCCTAGCACCCTTCACCACAGCCCTACTCCCCCATTCCCGCCAACAGAGCTAGGCGGTTACTACTCCCTGTCCCAGGCCCCCCTGGGGCAGCCCCTAACTCCTTATCCAATTCCTTATCTGCAATCCATCCCCCTCACACAACAAGCTGGAGGTCTCTGGGCTAAACCCAGATCACAGATATGCTTTCTTCAGCCCACTTTTTTTAAATGTTCAACTTATTGCTTTTTTAAATGTTTGATTTAAAATCAAAATCCAGTTTTGCAGCTTCTCTTGAGATGGCCGCATGAGGTCCACCGCCCTGCATGGCACAAGCAACAACAGACAAGTAGTGGCCATCCAGTCCACCCTAGTCCCCACTCCTCCCTATTGTTTCCCTGGCTGTGTCTTGGTCCTTGAGCCCTGGCTTGGATCCTGTGTTCCAGACTCCAGGCTCCCAATTCTCATCTTCCCAAAAAGGACCCAGCCTCAGCCTCTTCCCAGAAGGCCTGGTCTCAGCATTCTTCCCTATTCTCTGTTTCCCTCTGGGGCCTCAAAACTCCCCACCCTCAGATCCTTCTCACTTCTGGGAGGCAACACTAATCAAATTCTGACCAATACCCTGGAGCTCCTCCTGCCCCTGAGACTACTACCTGCTAGGACCCAGGGCCTGACCTGTTTCCCTCCCAGTGTAGGCTATTTCCAGATTAGCCTAGCCTCCAACATGCCATCCTTCCAAACCAATTATCCCTCAACTTCCACTCCGTCAGCTCCTTCTCATTCCCTGGGTATCCACTAGCTCACAGGGCAGCACTAGATGAACGGACACCCCTTCTTCAGGAAGGCAGAGCCCCAAACCAAGGCGTGTGGTTCGGTGAGCACTGGGCAGGCTGAATTCTGCCCTGCACTCGCCAAGTACCTAGGGCAGAGTGAGACAAGACCTTTGCTTCCTCTCTGCTCTGAGCAGAAGCTTAACTTAGTGATTAAGTTAAGATGGACAGCTTGGGAATCAGAATCTAGTCTTGACCTCTGGCAATTCTCTTATCTGAGTCTGTTTCCAGTTTCTGCTTACTTAAAATGGGAATAACAATACTTACACCTCCACACAACCTTTATTAAACAAGAACTTGCCTGCAAAAGCATTTACAAAGAGAAGAAGCCCAATAAACTGTCAGCTCTGGGCTTTCCTGGAACCCATATTCCCATCTTCCACACAACTCACTCCCTGCTTCCCCCTTCTCCTCTGGCCCATGCTCACATCCCCTCGGGGACCCAAGGCCAATGCTCGTGCTGGAGCTCTCACCAATCATGCCCAGTTAAGCCTCCCTGTCCCCATTCCCACCAAGTACCTTGAACCTCTTGTCCTGGAGAACCTTCTTGATGGCTACCAGTTCCCTGGTCTCTGCCAGCCGTGCCTGGTACACAACCCCAAATGAGCCATTGCCAATCACTTTGATGTCTGTGTACGCCACCTCCTGGGAGCGCTCCGGGCCTTGGCCTAGAGTGGCTACCACTGTGGTCACCTTCCCGCTGTCACCTGGGGAACAAAGGAGACACAATATCCACTGACCCTTCCCCTCTGGCCACTCCCTGTCCTGGAGCTGTGGAGGGGAGGACAGTCTCCACAGGAAGCTCTCTGGGGCCTCTTTGTCCCTTTTTCCTTGTCCCTCCTCCCACAATGGAAGACACCGACATCTAAAACTCTCGCTGACCCCTAAGTTCCACTTCTAGTTAAGCAGCAAACCATTGGGTCTTCTTGGTCTCAAGAGACACTGACACTTCCAGATGCTGAATGCATCCAAGCTCACTGCCCTCTGGTCCCTCCCGACTGGGGAAAGCCTGGCCTAAACTCGTCCACTGAAGAGAGCGGTAACCCTGAGGTACTTCTACTTTAGGAAAGCACTAACCTCCCTCGCAGCTCAGGGGAGGGTGACCTCTATGTCCTCCCTGGTGGAGCTGGAAACTTCACCACTGGTTTTTGGTGACAGAAATAAATGACTCCTCCTGGCGTGAGTACTGGCGCCCTGACTCACTTTTGGGGGACAATGTGCCCTTACCCAAATGCTTTCAGGTTAGAGAAGGCACTGACCTGACCTCATCTGTGTGATCCAGAGTCCCAGACCCCTTCCTGTATGTGGGTGGTCCTTAAGAGATCAGCACTAAATTGAGACTAGTGAACCTGATCCCTACTATCAGAGGGCTAGCCCAGCCTCAGTGCTTCATAGGAAAACAAATTCCCAGTTCCAGTCTCTGAATGGCAGCAAATTGTGGTGGCATTCTTTGGGGATAGTGATCCCTTTTTCTTCAGGGAACTGATGGAAGGTTCCCCCAAGAAAAAGGGTCACTGATAAATCAAATCCATTTTGAGGGACCAGTTGACACCTGGATCCAGTTGAGGGACCAGGATCACGCCTTCTTTTGGAAGAGGTGATCCTACATAGCTATTTTTCAGAGCCGCTAACACACCTCATAATAAAAGGGGTATAACCCAAATCCATATCTATGGGAACTATAATCCTCCCCCTCCCCTTCCATTTATGTGAAAGGAGACCCACCAAGCCATGTTTTTTGAAAAAACAGTAACTATGCCGAAACCAGTTTGGCTCAGTGGATAGAGCATCGGCTTGCGGACTGAAGGGTCCCAGGTTCGATTCCGGTCGGGGGCATGTGCCTGGGTTGCGGGCACATCCCCAGTGGGAGATGTGCAGGAGGCAGCTGATCGATGTTCCTCTCTCATCGATGTTTCTAACTCTCTATCTCTCTCCCTTCCTCTCTGTAAAAAATCAATAAAATATATTTTAAAAAAAAAAAAGAAAAAACAGTAACTATGAGTAGGTCTGAAGAGCATGCTGACTCCCAATCTGGCCTTATTTCTAAGAGGTAGCAACTATGAATTTTCACCATTGGGAGTAAAGTTCTACATATTATGGGCAGGTTATGATATCAGGCCCTGTGTTTTAAAGGGGAAGACGACCTGGGTACCAGGTTTGGAAAGCTGTAGCCCTGTTCTTTGGAAACACAGGTACTTGCTTCTAAGTAATATGTACTCCAAATTCCCATCTTCTAAAGGGAAGCAAATGCAGAGCCCACCCCCGCCCCCTCCTATTTATTCTCTTTGGGAACAATAACCCTTGAGCCCCATTTGTAAGCGACGATGACCCCTGATCCTGTTCTCTAATGGATGGCAACGTCAGATCCCTGTTTTTAAGCCTCAAGAACCCAAGACCTCGGTACTGGAAGAACAGGAACCTGTGACCCCAGTTTCTTTGAGGGTTACTCTAAGCCTAAACTCCAAGTGATGGTCACCCCCTCAATTCTTCTCTTGGAGGGGGAGAGCTCAGATCCCAGTTTTAGGTGGCAGTGACCTCGCGCTCTTATCTGGGCAGATGGAAGAACCTGATCAATGACTGAGGGGCTTCAGGGACACTGATCTCCACCCACCACGGACGCCGCTAGTACTCACGGCCCAGCTTCACTCCGGGCGGCGGGAAGCTGGTGCCCGCACTGGGGACGCCGCTGCCTCCTCCGCCGCTGCTGCTGCTTGGGCCAGCCC